ACCCTGTTCCATAATCGCCCCAACGTTTTCCCATGAAAATATTTGCTGCCCGTTTCTGGATTGATCTGTGCTCCCACCGATAACACCGACAGCGGTAGCGCGGCAGCAGCATCGCTGGCTAAAATAGGAACGGCTTGGATTTCCCTGGAGAGGATGTCGAGGACGATGTGCTGTTGCTGCTGCTGCTATCGATTGCGCGCGATGACCAGTGGAGGCCATGGGCTCGTAAGCGCTTCGAGGATGTGTGTGTGTGTGTTTATAGAGTGTGATTGTCCGGCGCTGCGTAATCGCTTTGTTCATTATTGAAGGATTGCTCCGGTGCGGTGTTTTCAGTGAGAGGATCAGCCGGGATGGCGGCCTACCGACTGCTCATCGACGTGCTGCACCGCGTTCCACGCTTCACTTTCACGCTACAACCTGCCTCAAATACGTTCTCGCTTCAGTACAACAGCCAGTACATGCAGGTACTCCCTCTCAGTGATTTGTTTACCTTTCTCTGTCTCTGCCAAAAGTGAACTCACCCGACGACAAAAGCGCCCGGCGATTGTTGCCGTAGTTAATTTTCACGCAGAGCTGAAATGACCTTGGGAATGAATAACCTTTGGATAATGATAATGCATCCATTCTCAGTGCTACTTAATAATTTTTGCTTTTAAACGAATTAGAAAAAAAGAATTTGTTGGGTCCGAAAGTGGCTCCTAGCAGCGGGCAAAATCCAGATGTCGTTGAGAAAAAAAAACCTTTTCTTTTGTAAATTACTCAGCTGTGGGTACAAAAATCCTGACGAAAACACTGTGTGCTGATCGCAGCTTTCAAAAGAGATTTCTTTGGGTCCGAATTTTCTTTTTTTTTTTTTTTTACAAGCAAAACAGCATTATAACTTATGTTGGTGCTTTTATTTAAATTTTACGTTTTCTCTTTTTGGTACACTGAGGGAGATAATAAATTTGTATGCCCTAAAATACCGGATTTGCGGGCCCAGTCGGTCGAGATAGTGCGCTGGCGGGTGTATTTAAGAAAGACATCCGTCTGCATAAACCACAAAATGTGCAGCTGCACGCCTGCCTGTGTGGCGTGTGCTGCAGCGGGCGAACAGGACAGCAGTAAAAAAAATTTTTTTTTTCGAATTTAAGGCGCTGCTGCTGTTTGTTGCTGTAATATTGTTGCTTGGTGCGACATTGCTGTTGACCATTGTCATCACGTGGATTTGCCAGTGCTGCAGTAAGCAAAGCGCAAGCGTCAAATCCAGACGGCGAGTACGTCAGCTCTCGCTCGTTTTGTTCATCATCAGTGTCATTTGCTTGTAAGTTATTTCATTTTTCTTTTCCTCGTACAAAAAAAAACTTCATTTTGAAAAAAAAAGAAAATTTTTTTTTCTTTTACTATTTGAGCGAAGAGCTTGCAGTGGATGCACTGGTCCCATAATCCCAAGCAGATGGGCTTCCATCACTGTTAGGGCTAGCAGTTCTGGAAAAAGAAAGCTTCTAGCAGTTTTTCGAAAGATTTTAAAAAAAAATGTTTCTTCTATCTGTAATAACTGGAATACCCGTTAGTTAGTTTTTATCCGTCTAATACGGCTGGCAGCTTTCCCGCTTGTTGTGGCCAGTGTGGCTTCGTCTGGAGATCAGCCAGCTGAGGATCGTCGCGCTGTTTTTAACTTCTCACATTTGTGTAAGTAACATTTGTCTGTACATATTTCACGATACCTTTAGCTTGTGCCTTGGGATATGTTTATTTGGAAATGAGCATCTGAATCGTAGCATAACGAATTCAGTCATTGCCGCCGACGACATATCACGGAATTTACTGTTTGCCGAGTCGCAGGTTCGTTATTTTTCCTCTATTATCATACCTTCAGTCTGATTAAAGGCATTCATTAATTTTTGTTATAATAACAGAATACAGGGGCGGGAAAGGGTGGAATGAACGGGCATGACTGCACTTAACGTACACTTAGCATCTAAGCAACATCAAGAATTTCTCATTGATAATGCATGCGATCTTGATAGTGCAGTGCTGTTAACATTATCTTGATTATTTTGTTCTTAATAATTATTGTTGTTGTTTGTTGTAATGATTGTGAACAACAACAATAGTAACGGGATTGAGTTCTGTCAATTCTGTTACTATCGTTGTTGTTGTTGTACACATATTAGAATGTATAAGATAGCGATTAAAGTAAACGGGAAAATGGATAATCATGGTAGCTAGTCGTAGGAGTAAAACTCATTGCAATGAATTTAATTTACTTATTTAAAAAAAAAAGTTGAGGAGTTTGGTAATGAAAAATTAAGTCACACATTTTGGGGAGTTACCCAGGTGAATAGAGTTCTGAATTGCAGTCGACCTGTCGGAGAAATCAAATTTATTGAAATCCTAAAACTTGAAGATTATCAATGGTGCTAAAGTGATAGTGAGCGTTTATCGTCCACCTTGCGCAACGAAAAATTAGGATTGTACCTGGGTAAAGTTGACGCTCATCTTTGTGCAATATCGTGACCTATTAAAAATAATATGCAATTTTACAGTGTTTATGAGTTTGCCTGTGTTGCACGCTGCTGCATTTATACGAACATCGTAGGCGCTTTTTGACCACTCGGCCTACCCAGTGGTCATCCAGTGGGCGTGGCATGTGAGGTAGAGGGGGAGGAGAGGCAGGGGGACACATGAGTCTCCCAAAATGTGTACTTGACCGATTAATCCGACTTATATATTGGCATATTTTTGTTGATGCACAGAATTAAAAAGCTCATCTGATTTTCGTTTATAGTGCAATTCGCTGAACAAAACTCGTATAAATTCTATGAAGCTTGTGGACACACTGTCAACGGCAGTCGAAAACGCTGTGGAACGAACAACTGGCATCAACAAAACTGTGTGTTTTGAAGCCTCTACTTACAGCCCAGCAGCACAGAGGATCAGTACTGATTGTCCAATCGGCCTAGGCAGTCGTGCTAGTTTTCGGAATCCAAATGCGTGGTTTTTATGATTTCCAGTTATTTGAGGAAAAAAAAGAGTTGGTTAGACTTCCTCGTCTCCGAAGAGCCAGTGATGGATGCCTGAAGATAAGTATGCAGGTAGATTTGGAGAAAAA